TTGTAGTTACTAGAATGTGCCTATAAATCTTCAAGGAAACAATAGATGGCAAGTGAAAAAAAATTACACCTAGACATGATTAATTAAACAGGATTCTAAATATTCACCCAGTGAGACCAAACGAGGATGTTCTTAGGAGAAGATCACAAAGGTTCAACAGCTATGTGCATATAATCATATATATGATCATATAAATGATGTTTGTTGAAATGATCTCCAAGAAATGGAAACAAGATGTTTTTTTATTTTACTTTTTGTGTTTCTCCCCTTTTTGTCTCTGCTTTTATTTCTGTACTTTTTGTCTTGAATGTAAGTTTATCTGTTTGGGGGAGGGTGAGGGAAAGCACAGAAATGGTAGAACAAAAGCAGAACTATTTCAGCAGTGATACTCATTAGATATTATATTGTTGAACTATACAACTTGTAGGAGGGGGTCGGGAAAGACAAAACTGGGAGAAAACGAGGGAAGAGGTGACACTGTTCAAAAGAAATACATTCATTACCTGACATATGTAACTGTAACCCCTCTGAACATCACCTTTACAATTAAAAAAAACACCTGGCCATAAAAATAGTCACCCTTGTAAGCAGAAACTAAGCCAAATAATCATACTTTGTGGGACTGTATCTTCCATAAATATGTTGAACAGAAGAGACTGGGTAAAGTCAATAGAAAACATTAAGTACAAATAAATAGCCATTATTTGTTTTTGTGGTAAGGGGCTTGCTAAGTCAGCCAAACAGTAAAACTAAACACTGAATGTCTATTTGTAAACTACATAGTATTAGAGAACCAATGTTGATATTTTAATGGCATGGTTGTAACTATATTTGTATTATTAGTATCTAATCACTGAAATAGATTTGAATCCTAAATGGAGCTATCCTTCAATTTAAAAATGCCTAAAATTATAAATCTAGTTCTTAAATAACTTAAATTAGAAATTGTTACTTTTCATAAAAAACAATCTATATTCTTAAAGCATTCCTCCTATTGTTCTCTTATAAAACAATAAGGGAATTAATATGCATAATTAATTTTTTGTTTTAAAAATTCATTGGCAATCAGCTGTGAGAGAAAATCTGAGAGCAATGAGCTCTGAGGTTCAACCATAGTACTGGCCAAAAAAAACCCTAAACAAACAAAAACACTAATCATGGCAATGAGATCTACACAGTGGAGACAACCAGTGAACCTGGTGAAACTCTGCATGTTGTACGTGAAAGTGGAAATGTTGCTGGAGTTTAGGGAACAGTCCTTATAGACTGAGGGGTCAAGGGTGGCCCTGAGAAGAAGAGAGGACTTGACTCAGTTTTGGCAGGAAGGCTGGAGCAAAGACAAGGGCTAGCGCATATGCAGAGCCAAGTCTGTGTTAGGACATGTTTGCAGAAAAGGTTTTATAGCATCAGTCTTTAAGCCTGGCAGAGACTGTGTACCTTCCATGCAGGCTTATGTTTGTCTGACCAGGAGCAAGACAGGCAGATCAGTTAGGAGGCGACTGCCATGTTAGGTGATGAAGTGCTGGGCTGTCTCAGCATAAAAAGGGGCATTAGCAGGTACAGAACTAGCTGGGATGAGAATGCATCCCTTACTGTGCTTAGAGCCTCCTCTTCTGTGTGACGCTAATTAGATCCCATGGGCATTAGGTCCCTGCCCTGGGCCTCATTAGCACATATCCTCTCCACTGGAGCTAACCAGCATGGGTGCTGATCTTAATAGCTTGCTATTTTTACTGTTGGAGAATAAAAACACTTAATTTCTATGTAACCACACAGAAAACTTTACAATGACTTTTTACCGTATTATTACAATGGCTTTTACCTTATTATTATTTAGTAAAACATGAGTGATTTGAGAAAGTATCACATCATTTGCATGCTTTTCTTCCTTATTTATGTGTGGCCTTGCCTTGGGAAGGGGGTGAAGGATCTGAGAAAAGTGCTTTTAGAGAGGTTCAATTTCAGAATTCCATTAAGTCACAGTTGCCTTGTTTACCTATTAACTGACCCTGCTCAGATCTCAACATGAAAAAAATCTGAGAAACATCCAAATATATTTCTTGAAATGTTAAGCTTTAATTCAGACATTTGCCATCCTGCCTATAAAACAAACAGTAAAGTAAAAATGTGGCAATTATTCCATCTACTTGAAGTATATGAGGATTACAAAGTGATTTTGTGACAGCCCAAGTATTTGGGCCAAGTCAGATTAGCTGGCTGACCACCAAAATTCACTCTACTTTGTTCTTTGATGACATACCTAGCTAAAGAGAACAAACAAGTCATATGAAGACAGGTTTGGGATGGGACAGAAAACGTTTTTTAAAAAAATTAAGCATTTAAGTCATTGGGTTTTGACTGGGTGTTTCTGACTTAATTGAAGTCTGTTCAAATTCTGCATATACATGTTTGAGCAAATTTTAATTTGCTTTAAAAGAACAAATGGATCACAGTTAAATACTGAAGTACCTGGGGTTCTTTAAAGCAATATTGTTTTAAATGGCCAAATCAGATTTTGAGTTAAACTCACACTGAGCAGGCTGACAGGATATGGCATTTGGGAATCCAGGAGCAGGTGAGAATGGCCCACTGCTCCTGTGACGTGTGCGTGCTCAGCTGTGCCCATACAGGGTACTCATGGTGCTGTGTTGTCCCCAAGGCTTTAGCAGTGAGGAAGGGAACTGTCCAAGCATGTGATGGCAATACTTCCAGCTTGAGTGGGTAAGAGCATTTGAGAAATAGGTTTGCAGCTCTACAGCATTTTAAAAGGTAATGTGTTATCACAGGATAAGGATGAATATCTTTAAGATTAGAAGAGACTGTTGTTAAAAGAATCACATATACCACATGTTGAAAAAGGTATGGAAATGAGTGCCCTCATCTCCCAGTAAATCAAGAATCCCTTCCCTGGGAAAAATGAGTAGTAATATTAGCCATACCTACACCAGACAAATGTGTGCTGAGTGGTGCTGTAAGAGCATAGACTTAAGGTTACCAGAGGTCCAATCCTAGCTTTACTACTTATTCATTTTGTTGCCTTGGGTTTCATGCTTGGCTCCTCCAGCCCAGAGACTGGTCACGGGACTAGCAGGAACCAATGTAACATCAACAAAGGTGCAAAGGCTTTACTAATCACTATGCATTGGCTCTCTCTCTCTTGAAATGTTGTACTGATATGGCCAAAGAAAGACCGAGGTCCACTCATCTACTCAGTACATTGATTCGTGAAGCTTTTTAAAAACTGCAATCAGAACTAGAGTTTTTAGAAAATTCATTTTGGGAGCCCTGGGGATTGTACCCAGGGCCATGCACTTGGTTAGCAGAAGCTCTGCCATTGAGTTACATTCCTAGCCCTGACTCACATCTGAAATGCTGGTCACATGGTTGCAGGAGTATTCTATAGAACCGTTCCACAGGCAGAAATAGGGAGTCTCCCCTCACCCAACTGCGAGTCTTTGATTTTCACTGTAGGTAAGTAATTACTACCTCTTAGCTTAGTTCTAAATTAGAAGAGTGTTAGGCATCTCTCACCTAGTCTACATTCTTTGGACCAAATACAATACTTGAGTGGTTCCAAAGGAAAAGCTCCTATTTTATAAGCTACTAACCATCAAATACCAATTATCTTAAACCCCAATGTCATTAAAATAGCACTTCACATGTAATAAAAAGCTACTTTTTCTTTTTACAGTGGTCAATAGTTCTTTCTTTTTGGTTGACAGAAGGAAAACTATTTAAAGGGGAAACAATCCCTGATCTAAGCAACTGATCTAATAATGAACAGAGCCCTGAGGGCAGGGATCAAAAGAGCAAGAGGCACTTGTAATTGGGAACTTATTGCTATTTGAAGAAAGGGTTGATAAATCCAGCTGCAATCCAGCACTAGCATTCCTCTGGCTCCCTGGACACACTGCTTTCAGGTCATCCACAGTGCTGCAAGACCAGCTTGGTGGGAGCCTGACAAGTTCCCAGGACAAAAATGGCTCTTTGAGAGTCTCTTGAAACTGGTAATTTCACTCAGAATGGGTTATCATCTTTGCCCTAAAGGGATTCACATTTTCAGTATTAGTTTCATCTTATTTATGGATTGATTCCTTGCTAAGATATGTGAAGAGGAAAATTAAAGTTTTAAGATCAAAAGCATTCCATATTGCAAAGATATGTACAAACAGCCAAAGCTATTGCTGTGTTGGTAGGCTGTTTCAGTGTCTCTGTGTCTCTTCATTATGAACACAAGTCAAGGAGAAGGAAACAGTCTTCCCAAGCTCAACCTTTTTATAGCCTCAGCATAGAGTACTTCCTATTTCAGTAGATCCTAAAAATGGACATATTCATCATGAAAAATCTGAGAGAAACTTGATGAATGATAGCAGTAAACATCTGTTACCACATAAAATCTCAGATACTCTTTACTTTCCAGCTTTTCACAAGACCTCTGAATCAAACAGAGGGAGGGAGTAAGTACAACTTCCTCCTGACTTTGGCAATCAGTATTGGTGATGGAAAGTTCTGGAAGAACACAGAAACTATGGGTGTGTAGTTCAGAGTCAATCATGCCACAGAGGTGTTGTTTCATTGGAGATGTCCCTATCTGGTTAGAATGCACTGCAGTTGGTCATTATTCCCTTGACAATTGTCTTGCAGTGTTCCAGTGGTTCCTAGAATTATCTCAACCTCATAAGACTTCATAAGATAGTCTCTAATATTGTTTGGGGAATTGCAACCAAATCTATATTTGTAAATTTGTTCTCAGATTTAAAACCTGTGTGTCTAAAACATGACTGGCTTTTGCGTTGCTTGGTTCACTTATTCATTCCTTAATTCATGACCTCTCCCCTCATTGTACATTGTACATTGAGGGTTCTTAATCTGTTGATGTAAAAGAAAGGAATGTATTTTGCCCCTTCAAAGCTGATAGCAAGACAGCTCATGCTTCCAAAGTGAAAAGAGAACACAGACATTTTAGAGAAGGCCACCTTCCTCCATCTGCCTCTCCTTACCTTGCTCTGATGGGCTGAGATCCTAGTCTGGGTCCCAGAGCACTACCATTCCCAGGAGAATTCTTTCTGGCTAATGCTGGGGATATAGAAGTTGTTCTTTGAGGCACCTGGAAGAAAACCAGAATTCAGAAATGCTTTCCATAAAACAGCTTCTGAACTGTCTGAAGAACCTATTCCATTCCATAGATTTTTCAGAAGTTAAAGAAATCATCTTCATTCCTCAAAGGAATTTTGAACTCTATAAAACAGAACCAAGTGAATTCACTGGGAGAAGGCAGTGAGGGCCATTCAGCAACCACTAAGGAAGGTTGTTTTAGTCTCAAAAATACAGACAGATCAAGCCAAAAAGTTTCATGTATGAAGTAGTATCTCTTGGTTGGGCAAGGGTGGTGGACTTTAGAAACCTCTTTGGGTTCTATTACCTTACTGGAAGCTGCATCAGATAAGAGCCATTTTTAGCTCACAATACAGAATATAAAGTTTGCTGAGAAATTAGGATATCAGCCTAGAACCAGTGACACAATTATTACATTGGTGAGCTCAGAGAATCTACTGTTAATATAGATATTTGCAATTCCTGATCAGTTTGCTTTTGCTGATCAAGTTGCTTTTGCTAATCAAAACCCCATATGGTTTTAACTAAACATTGTGTTTTGGATGACTAGTTAGCAAATGTACTTATAAAACAGTACTGAAAATACTGGAATGGTTTTCAAAAAGCCTATGTGACTACCAGTAACACTTTTAAGGTATGTAGGCAAGTATATTATTAGCTTATCTGGGAAATGCCCCAGGCAGAATTCAACTATGTCTTAAGTATGCCTCCTTTTATGAAACACTTCTTTATGAAATCAAGCCGGCAGGTGTACCAGAGTCATTCTTTATTTAAGGCAATCACATGAGTCCTAGTATAGAAAATAATTTTTTTAATGTAAAATGTCATCCTCATCTTGAAAGATCAAATTTTTATTATGATTTATTTAAACATAAAAATTTATCTGAATGGGGCTGTGAAGTTGGATCAGTGGTAGAGTGCTTTCCTTGTGTGCATGAGGCCTAGGTTTGATTCCTCAGCACCACATAAGCAGAAAAAGCCAGAAGTGGCACTGTGGCTAAAGTGGTAGAGTGCTAGCCTTTAGCTGAAGAGCTGAGGGACAGCGCCCAGGCCCTGAGTTCAGGCCCCACAACTGACAAAAAGAAAAAAAAAAGAAAAAATTAGAGGAGTGGACAAATTATGTTACCATGTGTTCAAATTCCATGGTTCTACTGATATTTTCTATTTTCTCTTCATAAACATGAATGTTTGTAGAGAAGAAAGAGCCCAATGAAAGACTAAAAGCTGAATCTTTAAGGTCACCTAAAACAATGCCCACTTCAAGTTTCTCAGGCTCCTTATTTTTTACATTGAGCTTTGCTACTAAGTAACCTTTGTTGATGACATTTCTGCTTCCACAAAAAGACACCAATAATATCCTTTATGAGCTATATTTGTCATTCAATTTTTTTCCTGGAAATCTTTTGTTGTTGTTGTTGGTTGTGGAGCCTGAAGTCTGGATCTGGGCGCTGTCCCTCAGCTCTTCAGCTCAAGGTTAGCACTCTACCACTTGAACCACAGCACCACTTCTGGCTTTTTCTCCTTATCTGGTGCTGAGAACTTGAACCCAGGGCCTCATGCATGGAAGCAAGCACTGAGCCACCTTCCCAGCCCTTTCCTGGAAATCTTGAAACCTTCTATTTGTCATAGCTCCCTGTGCCAAGACCAGAAGAAAAGGGATTCAGGAATCTCATGCACACATGTCCAGTACTTTGAGGACACATAGGTTGTTAGAAATGTTCTAGAGTTACCACCTGACGACTAAGAACAATAAAGAATTATACAGGAAAAATAAAGATTCAGACTGAGTACAGTGGGAGGCTGTCATTTTACCCTAAATTGTAACCATGAAAAAGTAAGTACTGGTAGAAGTGAATTTAATATTTAGTGTAAAAGGAACTTTTCCTAAGTAGAGGAAACTAGAATCTAAGGGCACAACCATCTTCTGAACCTCTGAAACCTCCGTGCTATTAAAAGTAAAGATAAATGAAAAAAAAACCAGAATAAATGAATTTTCTACTTTTTATTTGGAAGTTTTTAGTGTGTCTATATAGAATTATTCATCAATGAAAATGTTCATTATTCCATTTTTAAAAATATGGATAGGAAAATACTTTGAAACAGTTGTGGCTGAGAGTTCTAATTATGGATACAAGGTATACTTAAGTCTAGTTCCTCTGAGAAAGCAAAGGTCAGATATGACAAATGACCATCCATGCTTTAGGTTGGGAAGACGGGGAGTGCATGTGAAAGGAAGGTGCCTTGGTGCCAGGAAAGGGCGCTGAGGAGAAGGGGTGGTTGTTAACAGCTAACTGTGGTGCTGATGATAACAACATGCCAGTTATATTAACACTACCTTTGGTGGAATGTCTTCTTCCTGTCGTAACCAAGAACTTCGGTCAAACTTCTCAATGCGAGTAGGGAGAGGAGGGTTTTCAGAGGTGGGATCGGAGTTCTGGCGCGGCATCTCTACACGGTGAGAGGTCACGTTCAGAGCCTCCTGAAACCCAGACAGGCCCTTTGTGGGCTGCTCATGCACTGACTGGGAGGCGGTCAAGGCAGGTCCCTGCGATTTCACAGATACCAGCTGGGGGATCTAGGCACAAGCCAACATTAGAGTGCATGATGAGGAACAAAAGAAGGGAGAAGAGTTCTATACCATAGAGTCCACCACAGCTATCTACAGCATGCATTAAAAAAATACAACTACTAAAAAAATCAAATATAATCGCATTCGAAAATATTAACCTAGTGGAATAAAGATCCAATGTATTTTTGGGAATACCATTTTTGTGTGGTAACTATATAGTCTCAATAAGTTTAACAGCTTTCTATAAAGCCTTTTATTTAGATAAATGCATGAGGCTGAACCAGGGTTTGTGGTAAGAAATTTACTGGCTTAGTTGGAACTGCTAAGAAGTAGAATCACATGATAACTATCTTTACTGACCGTTTGTTGATGGCACTACAAGATAAGTGCTTATAAGACGTAATATAACTGAAGTAGGCCCTGAGAGGAGACTTGAGCTGGTACAGCTTCTTTCAGGCTTTGCCTTTGTTTTAGGGATTTTAGAAAAAAAACTTTAAACAAGGTTAACTAGACCTTGGCTCTAACCAGCCCAGTTCCTGGATGGAAAGAATGCTTCTAGCTCCCCCTCCCCAACAACCTAATCCACCTTGATTGTTCTGTTAAGGGCTGACCCAATAAAACAGATAGGTTGTAATCTGGCTCAAACTGGCAACATCACATGCTTATGGTAAACTCCACTAAACTCCTCTTTTGGGCATGCTTTTACCATAAGCTCCACCTTACCCGCTGAATTTGTGAGTCATTTAAACCAAAAGTGATAGGCTGGTTTAAACAGCCATTATGTGACAAACTGTAATCTCATTGGCCACCTGCTTGTGGTCTGGTATGACTATGCAATCTTTTGTGTGTGTGACAATCTCATTGGTCACCTGCGTGACCAGGCTTGACCTCGTGAATTTTGCCTTTAAAACTCTAGCTTGTGGGCCATTAGGGGTCGCAGTATCAGCTCCCAAGCCTGTGATGCAGCCCTGACTGGTCAGTAGAGGAACCTTCTCAATAAAGTTGTTTCTTTGTTAACAACCTTGTTGCGGTAGGCTCTGTCACTCTGGACAACTAGGTGGGCTTGCCTGCCTGAGTAGGGGTCTTCCTACTACATTTAATGGGGGCTCATCCAGGATAGAGCTCTTAGCTGCTCCAACCTGAGGGGGGATTGAAGTCCCCAGCCGGGAGGACGGTGTGAGGGCACTCGGCTGTTGGAGAGAAGTTCCAAGAAAAGCCTCGAGGTAAGCTCGGTCAACCTAGGTAGAGAAGGCGCCAGAGTGAAGCCAAAAGTAGGGTGAGGCTGGACACAGCAGAGTCCCCTACGGCCGAGGAGGTCCAGGGACGCTTGGACTCCTCAATTCCACCAGTCCTAGCAGTCCTAGTTAGTTGGATGGGGGCTGGCTTGTAGAGAAATAGGTTGAGAGGAAAAGTAACTTAGTTTTGGTGTATAATCGTGTCTGTCTGTGTCTCATTATGCTTTTGCTTGCCATGTTTGTACCTGGATTTACTTTACAGGAAAAATATGGGGCAAAGTGAGTCCACAAGTCCACTCCCGGGACACCCCTAGACCTTGTCCTACTTCATTTAAATCTGCTTTCGTAACTTGCTTCTTTGTCAATTATGAAACTGCCACTGGCCACCTGCAAGTGGCCCCAGCAAGATCTTAGCCTCAGGCCTTGGACCAGGGGGTCTGGGCATGGGGGAGAACCTGCCAGTCTGAGGGGATGGCCACTAGCGACTTCTTTCCCTTGCCCCAAGATGACTGGGAATTCTCCTCCACCTTGGAAGGCCCTGGGTCAATGTTTGCAGGAATCTAAAAGAAAAATCCTCCAGAGGTGAGTAGAGGGGGTTTGAGTCCCCTGGTAAGTGAATAGTGGTGAGATGTCGCCCCATTCACTGAGACCTGATTTTGTCTTTGTGGCCACTTGTCTGTCTTGTTTATTTTGGTGTGTTTTCTGAGGTAGGGAAGTTCTGGGTGAGAGTGGCAGGCTCACTCAGCAGACTTTGGATTCAGCTTGCTGAGTGGGAGCAGCACAGAGTTCTGGTAGGGAAGAGTTGGGGGCCCATTAGTCCCCAGCTTAGCCTTTGGTTCTTGTCTTGCCCTATTTTAGAATTGGTACCAGTTTTAAATGTGGATCCTTGGTTTTTGTGTTTTTGTTATTTATTTGAACATCTCTGGGGGAATAAAAGTTTCAGCCTCCAGCTGGGCTCTGTCACAGCCCTGCTATGTCCCCCTCCCTGTGAGGCATGGAAGGTTGCTGGACTAGTTTGGTCCCCTTCAAGCCTCAGGCTGAATTTTCTACCTATGGAGGCTGCCTGAAGGGAGGGTGTAGATTGCTGTGAGCCTGGTTCAGAGACATTCAGCTGGTTCTGTTTAGTTTCAGGTGACCCCCCCCAACTTCCTCCAACTAAAGGTATTCAAAAGATCAATTGGTGAAATTCCTTGCTAAACAAGCAAGCCCTGGGAAAATGAAGCTCAACAATGGTACTTGTCTTAAATATTTGTTATCTAAAGATTTTAGAAAATGTAAGTACAACTGATTTTAAGTGTGTTTTGTGTGCGTGTGAACATGTTCAAGATGAGAATTGTCAGCATGCTGTAAAAACTGGGTGAGTTTTAAGTTTAAAATTCAAAATGTTATGAGGTTTGGACATTACCAAAAACTTTAAAGAATCTTCACATTGTTTTAAAAGGCTTTTTAAGGATTCTTTAACTTGAAAATTAGAAAAGCTGGTATTTTAAAATCTAATATTTTAAAATGCATAAGCCTGTTTACACTGTAATCAAGTTATCTGGCCTAACAAAAATGCATTGGCAGTTTGGGATTTAGTTCCCTTGGCTAAAATTTGGGGATAAATATTAGAAATTTAAATGCAAACGTTACTTTAACACTGTCAAAGATGTTACCTGTTCTGTCTGTCTAAAACTGTATTTCATTCAAGAACCAAGAGAAAAGAAAGGGGAAAAACTTAGAAACCAACAGAAGACCTATCTTTAGGGGTGAGGGGTGAGCAGGCAGAAGTACAGTTCAGCTGGTCATGCATGGTGGGACAGACCCTGGGGGGAGTCCACGCATGGTGAAAGAGGGCAAGCTGGCATAAACACAGTTCATCTAACCCTAAAGAGTCAGATTGGGTGCGTGCCTAGTCCATAGGATGGGCCAAATGGTCCATCTTTGTTCTATCCCTTTTCCCTGCAGATAGACACTGGAAACATGATGGTAAAAGTTAGTGATGTGGTGTTCTGATTAGCATTGCTAAAACTGCCCCTTGGATGTGTTAAAATTAAAATTAAGAAGGCCTTAAAAAGAGGGTTATTTGTTTAATGTGACTTGCTTTCAATGATGTTCTACGATTGGAATATGTTTTTAAAAGTCATAAAGGTGTTAAGTCTAGCTTCTTGGTACAGTGATGGTGATTGTAATTTTTTTTTTTTTTCCAGGACTGAACCCAGGGCCTTGCGCACACCGGGCGGGCGCCCTTCCACTGGGCTAAGCCCCCAACCCCTGTAATTCTTGTATTAAGGAAAAATTGTCATTTGAGTTTAAAAGTTTTTAATGTGTATCTGTTTTCAAACAAGCAGCCAAGAGTCAATGAGTGACACTTGGCCTTAAGATTTCAAGGAATCTTTTCAAAACGCAAATGAAAACTAAAGTATAAAATATTAAAAGAGATTAATAAGAGGCTTAAAAATTAGGAATGGATTTTTGGATATAAAGTTTAAAAGTAAAATTGTTCTTAACATTTGCCTCAAAGTAAACAAAGGAAAAATTAGGATTACCAAAATAATTGCTAGTCCAGTTTGCTCTTATGGGTTTTTTTTTTAAACAGTTTTCCAGCAAGCCCAGAGCAAAGCACAGAGGATTCTTACAAGTTGGTCAGATGCAACTTTGGCTCTTAATAAGTTCCAGGTAAGAGCATGCTTAAAAGCTACTTCCATGTTGGCCACCTTGTTGCTTTTAATTGGAGTAAAGTGGCCTTTTATAAGACTCATTGATTTGTAAACTGGTTCAAAGCCAGCCCGAGAAGAAAAAGGTCCCTGTGAGACTGTCACCTCTACTCAGCCAGCAGAGTGCTGAAAGAGCAAGCAGAGTTGCTATGGGACTCAAAGTGATAGAGTGCTCACCTTGAGCTGGGGAGCTGAGGGACAGCACTCAGGCCCTGAGTTCAAGTCCAGCGATCAGCTCAGGGAAATGCCAGTGAGGCATTTATCCCAGTGTGGAGAAGACACTCCTGGGACGAAAGCAATGGTCGAGCATCCACGGCCAGTAAGTCACCACTTGGATGGCAGAAAATAATGTCAGATCCTAGAGTCATTTGTGCATGGCCCTTCAAAACTGGTCAGAGCCGGGAGGTCATGGGAAGAGTTTGTAAGCATGCCTAATGTCCATGACTATCCACCTTGTAAGGGACAGGAACTTGCCAGTCCTCTGTAAAAAGAAAAAGTTATAAAATGTGGGGGATAGTTTAAATCTCAACCCCTATAGGCCCAAAGCCCTAATTGGCAGCAACTGAGTTGACATCAGCTATATGAAATTCATCTGTTCAAAAAAAAAGGGGGAGTTTATAAACCTGAGAATGTGTTTCTGTTGAATCTGAAGGCCTGCACAGGTAACTTAGGCATTGTTAGGGTCACTAGAGATCACATTCCTAAGCCATCCAGAAAGATGCTTTTGCAAACCAGAGTGCTAAACAAGCTACACTGCTGTAGCTGGAGAAAAGGTCTGTGCATTTGTCAAGAGTTAAAATATTGTTATTAATGACATCTATCCCTGGTAACATCTTTGTTAAATAGGCTAAGGTTATAGGTTCCTGATTAGGTAGGATCAACGCCCCTGAAGTCAACTTGAAGAAGTTGATGGACCTTTTAAGATTAAGGGTCCAAAGTCAGTTTTGGAGAAATGAGGCAAAATAGATAAAATAATTTTTTTTGTTTTAGAAAAAGGCATAAAGAATAGTGTTAACAGGTGTGCAAGGTGGAGACTGTATCTGTCGGAGATGGTTACAAGACTAAGCCTTCTGTGTCTGTTTACAAAAATATCTGGTAAGTAAAAAAATTGTTATTTTGGTTAATTGTCCTGGGCTATTGTCTAAACAGTCTTAAAAAACCAACGGAGCCACAGTCTGCCAAGCCTATGTATTACTTGTATCCTTAACCAGTCTGTGTAGGAATTTGAGTCATTTAAACCAAAAGTGATAGGCTGGTTTAAATAGCCATTATGTGACAAACTGTAACCTCATTGGCCACCTGCTTGTGGTCTGGTATAACTGTGCAATCTTTTGTGTGTGTGACAATCTCATTGGTCACCTGCGTGACCAGGTTTGACCTCGTGAATTTTGCCTTTAAAAACCCTAGATTGTGGGCCACTAGGGGTTGCAGTATCAGCTCCCGAGCCTTCTCAATAAAGTTGCTTCTTTGTTAACAACTTTGTTGCGGTGGGCTCTGTCACTTCCGACGACTAGGTGGGCTTGCCTGCCTGAGTAGGGGTCTTCCTACTACAATAACAAACTCCTTCCCTTAAAATCTCTGCCATTGACTTTAGAGAGCATGGTTGCTCTGTAAAATAACATAGTCGCTTTAAACCTCTTACTTGTTCAATTCTGTATTAAGGGCTGTGTGGATCTGATGGTTTCTGTGTCTGAATCTATGTTAATTTCCTAGGCATTCAGTATACTGTATTATTTATTCTAATGCCAAGTAAAACAAAGGTAAGATTGTACCTGGGGGTCCATAGGCCTGAGCATGGGTGGTGTCCGAGCAGGCTGGACTCCACTAATGCTAAAGGATTCCGACCTTGGGGGCAAGTTGGGGTCAGATATCCTGTTGGCAACCTTGTGTGGCATGGCAGGAGAGCTCTGCCGGTTCAGTCTTGACCGCTCTTCTACCTGGAAACCAAAGAAAAAGAGAAAAGAGCTTCATTGGCTAGAAGTCAGTTCTTTGCAGGAGGATTTTCTGTAGTCACCTGTAAGGCTTTGTTTGTATCCTTTCTTGTTAGTCCAAAGAGCCCAAACTTTTCATTTCTGCCCTGCAACCGGCATTTGTAGTGCATGCCTATAATCCGAGCTACTCTGGAGACAGAGACAAGAGGATTGTGGTTCAAAGCTAGCCTGGGCAAAGATGTGGAGACCCCATCTCAAAAACAAGCTAAGCATGGTGGTGTGTAAAACTGTAATTCCAGTTACTTGGGAGGTGGAGGTAGGGGGATGGATATCTGGGGGCCATACATGGGAAGGTTAGTGTGAGACTTTGTCTAAAAAAACCAAAAAAGTAAAAGGGCTGGGGGCATGAATCAAGTGGTAAAGTACTTGCCTAGCAAGAGTGATATCATGTGTTCAGTCCTTAATACTGAGAGGAAAAAAAAGAATTTACAAAAATGCACCCACCCCACTACCAGATCAAATACAACAGTTACAGAAATGCAGAACCCTTGAGCCAGTATCCATGATTACCCATTATCTTGTGCTATTTCACCAGATAGGAATCCAGCTGGTTGGCATTTATCTTGCATTGATTGCAGTAATATCTTGCTAACTGGTTACAAAGCCTTGGGGTCAGCCAGGGAATGGTTTGCACCCTAGATAATCCAAGGGAACTGCAGCATGGGGAAAAGAACAACTTGTACCCGTATGACTCATGGGCCAGGGACAGGAAGAGTCAGGGGCAGGTTGATGGGAGGGAGGTGGGGAGGGAGGGGTACTGTTCTTCCCAGGCTTGCTAGCAGATAGGCTTGTGGGTGTTGGCAGCTGCCTGCTTGATGAGCTTGGCCTGTCTCTCACATACTTCCTGTATCATTTTCTGTTTGTCTCTTCCGGCTCTTTCTTTTCTATTGTCTTTCTGCTCCCTAAAATACATTGTTCCTCCTCCCCCTTTCCATTCCCAGCCAGGACTCTACTGCCTTGTGCTGCCTTTCCCCACATGTGTTCTGCTTTCCTCCTCCCCTCTCCTCTCATGAGCTTTGTAGGGTCTATCTTAGCCCAAAGCAGGTAACAGATCCCAAACCCTATACAGGGGAGGCTTACAGTACACATGGGTAATCTTTGTAAAACAGGTGAAAATGATTGTTAGTAGAGAAGACAGTCATTGAAGACAATTTTAAGGAGACATTTAGATCCACAAGTTGTATACTTTTAAGACATAATACAATATTTTTTTCTTATAGACTATTTTTTCTTTTGCCAGTACTAGGGACTGAACTCAAGATCGTATGCTCTCTCATGGTCACTTGATTGGCTGGTGCTTTACCATGTGAGCCATGCCTCCAGCCTAACTTTTTGCTGGCTATTTTGGAAATGAAGTCTTATGGACTTGTCTAGGTTAGCCTTAAACCATGATACTCCAGCTTCTAAGCAACTAGGAATACAGGTGTGAGCCACTGGTGCCCAACTCAGCCCTATCTTGTCATATGTCTTCCACTTGTCTGGGGCTTCCCAAACCTGCCAGGGCAATGCCACCACCTCCCTAGCCTGAAACCACTTGGAGTGACCTCTTAATTATCTCTGCTTACTCAGTGTTTAGATTTATCTCAGTATTTTTACAAACAGCTACAAGTTTTCATTCATTTTGTTTCCTGGCCTGAAATACAAGTTCAAAAGCACTATATTCTTCTCTATCCTTCTTACTCAGAATGTCTTTTAAAAAGCCTGTCATGTTAATCTCCAATATAAACCACAGGATAGGAACCAGTCCTTCTACTTTTCCTGAGATGTTACTCCAGCATCTCTCCCCCATGTGACTGTGCATGCAGTGTGCAGACAACAGGCATCCAGTTGACTTCAGTTTTAAAATTCCACATCCTGCAGGTTCACCACTTACTATGAAAAGCCAGGACTAGAAACCGGACTATGTATACTAGATAGCTGCATGAGCACCAAGTATTATGGCAGCAAGAATTATTCAGCTGCTGCACTGAGCAAAAGAACGGGCACCTTTAAGAAAGACCAGATGGTAGAGGAGAAACAAAGGAGGAAGCAACAATGCTTGATAGAAAATGTACTCATTACCTTGCTCATGTAACTGACTCCTGTACAGTATTTTTACAATAAAAAATTATTAAAGAACAGAGAGATGCAAAGATTAGCACCAGACTGAGACTGCTTTGCAAATATCAGATCCCTTGAAAAGAAGGTGATGGTTCTGGACCACTGGAATTGATCACAAATTCTCCATTTTCTTACTTGGCAGTGATACTATAATAGATAAATGACCTGTCTAAGGTACTCCTCATTCTCTGAACTCCTATTTTCTAAGCATTTATGTTTGAACTCAGGAACCCAAGAGATCAGAGAGCAGATAAACACCTGGCTCTCCACATTGTGCCAGCTCCTTGTTTCCCCAAATTCAGAAACCAAGTGTATGTAGGGAGTAAGAATACCATTGGTCTGTTTCTTCCTGCAATGTCCTAAAATACATGGTGTAAACAAACAATTGTTAAACTCGGTAAAGTGCATCAAGATGGGTCCAAGATGCTGAAATTTCCTGGGTTAAAGTTTGTCCAAACAAATTTAAAATTTATGAGAAGGCTGTAACAACAAGGCATCTGGTTACACAGATTGTCTCAAGACAATCTTGATCTAATAACTGTAGGAAGGAATACTGCCCAATTAATCACACCAAGGAATCCCTTTAAATCCTGAAGTGAAGATATCGCATCAGATACTGGAAGTGCTGCTTCACAGAGAAAAAGCTGGATGGTATATTGGTAATATTTTGACACTAGATAAAAGCCCATAACCTGATTTGTGACAAACTATTGAACAGAAGGAAAATTGATACACAAGACAAAAAAAAGTTTTCCTCATTCGCAGAGTAAGGATAGATGTGATTAAAAACTGTTGACACAAGGAGATATGTTTTACTCCACCTGAGGATACTTGAAAGAAAAAGTGTATTAGCAAAGTTTTAACCTCCCAATCTTAAGAAGATGCAGATACCCCAAATGGGCATTCTAGAAATATCATATACACTGTTACATCCAAATATGTGTTACTAAGACTTTCTAGTTGAAGGGATTACCAGTGAGTGCAAAGGACAATATTAGTAGAGACTGATAAGTTTCGATATCAAAGCAGTTTTTCTTATTTAAAAAATCATTTGGCGGGCTAGGGATGTGGCTTAGCAGTAGAGTGCTTGCCTAGCATGCATGAGGCCCTGGGTTTGATTACTCAGTGCTAAATAAACAGAAAAATCCATAAGTGGCACTGTGGCTCAAATGGTAGAGTGCTAGTCTTGAGCAAAAGAAGCTTGGGGACAGAGCCCAGGACATGAGTTCAAGCCCCACAACTGGCACAAAAAAAGAAGTGAGGCAGTTAGTTTTCTCACAAGCCTTGGGTTTAAACTCCATATGACTCCCTCCCCCAATCATTTTCATGCATAAACTAAGTTTTTAAAAGTTTGAATCATGTCTGCAAAGTTATATACAGGGAGAAAGAAAATAACTCAGAAATAAAATCTGCTCCAGGCAGGAGTATGTATGGTCCACTGGGTACTGCAGGAGTGCTAAAGCCAAAGAGATACAGAAAAGCTCTCCAAGTGCAGAAAATCTAAAAGTGAATCTGGGATTACGGGAATCACCAAACATTCAAAATAAACAAAAGTGCATTTCAACAAGTATAGAGAAACAATCAGTAATTGTTGCCAGATTGTTTTGCACATTTGAAAACAAGTCGTAGGTTATGTCCTGCACTTCACAATAATGAATATCTTTTGAGAATTTCAAAATAAAATTACAGAAGTATGTTAAAAAATGTTACTAGTAAAAGTATATTTACCATGTCACATAATTGGTGCATTCTAATGATATTTTTATATGATGTTAGTTCATGGGTCCATGCCAGCCTTAAGAGGCTGAATTAAATTAATGACAGAATAAAACATGATTGTGTGGGATCCTTTTATTCTCCTAACTGAACAAAATAGTTTGGTTTGGGTTTTGTAGCAATGCTGGACAAAGAGAAGTGAATCAATAACTTTTAAGTGCTCATGGTATGCACAAAGAGCTGAGTCACATGGTTCTTTGGTAGAGGGTGATGGTTATGAGCAAGACTGGGGGTGGGTCTCCTTGTCTCTGGAGCTTCTTTGAGCACTGGAGAGCTCACATTTCCATGGAATGCTTGAAATGCAATCCTTTCTGAAGAAAGATACCTAGACTACTTTTCCAAGAGTCACTTCCAGTCAGCATTCCAGAAAAAAAGCTTATATCCCATCTGAATGCAGCAGTAACTGAAAAGTAATAAAGCAAATCCTTAACAGGCTGAGATGGAAATAAAGTAGTGCTTATTTTCACTTAGAAGAGGTGAGTGAGGAAAGAGAAATCAAAATAAACAACAGGCTACAATAGTCCTGGAAATCAAATTCAGACATATTGGTTATGTTTAATTTGCAGTTGCACAGTGCCTACTATTAATTGCCATATGTGCATTCATAATTGCTATAAAGCAGGAAGCTACAACCTAGGAAGGAGAAGAGACTTGTCCTGCCTCTGCAATCAGGCAATGGAGGAATCTGACCTCCAACATATTCCTCAACATTTCCTTCCGGGTTCCCTTTATGTTAAATCTTAAGAAACATAAGTGGAAACAGAGGTACTAGAAGAGAAATGAAAACTTTCTAAACAATAATTTGGGAGCCTCATGTATATATAAAAAGAAAAAGAAAAAACTGTCAGAATAGAGCATAGAAAATCATAGTGCAGAAAAATCATAGTGCAGAAAAATCATAGTGCAGAAGGAGGCTTTATATCCAGGTATTGCAAAGTCCCAGTGGGGTGATGGGAAGTAAAGAGATGTTGGTAAGATTGTTTGCCAAGTAAAACTACAGCCAGCCAGGCACAGCTGGCTCACACCTGTAATCCTAGCTACTCAGAAGGCTGAGATCTGAGGATCATGGTTCAAAGCCAGCCTGGGCAGGAAAGTCTGTGAGACTCTTATCTCCATAAACCATTCAGAAAACCGGAAGCAGCAAGCAGCGCTGTGGTTTAGGTGCTAGAGTGCTCCCCTTGAGTTGAAAATTTTCAGCTCAGGGTCCAGTGCACAGGCCCAGAATTCAAGCCCCACGACTGACAAAAGATAAAACAATAAAACTACAGCCAGATGACTGGTATGCGCTGAAAAGAGAGGGGGATAAGAGAGTACTTGATGAAGTGTTAAAAAAAATTAAAATACAGTCTCATGCAACACATGTGAACAGAGCATTTTGTCACTGTTATGTGAGGGTGCATTAAAAAAAATGATGTGGGGGAGCAAGTGTAGAATCTAGTACGCAGTTACTGCCAGGCCCAGACAATCACATGACATTTTATGGTAAAGGAAAAAAAGTTCCCTCTTATCCAACATCCAACAAGTTTTAAAAAAATGCTCTAAATGTTCAACAGAACATTGTTTATGCTTTCACAGAATAAATACTACTCCATCCAATCAGAAGTGGTAGAGAATTTGAAGGGGATGATCCTGCCTTTCCATCTTAGAGACATTAAGGTTACTTTCTGGCTGAATTTGAAAATTAAAGCCAATGAAACTTTTAAACCAGACAGAATGCTCAAAGAAGGACAAGGAGTATCTTAATAAGAGTTGCAAATGATCAAATGTTTTCATTTGTTTTAACTACATTATTATTGACTAATGTAATGAGGAAAGTAGCGCACACCGCTGGTTTATAAAATGAAGATGCAAATAAGCAGAGAGGATGAAGTACTGCTGATAAAAATTGATTTGGAGAAGAAGAGAAAATGTGGGTGGAAAAGTAATCAAAGAAAGAGCAAAGATCTTGGCAGGAGGTAGAAAGCTGTTGGAAAACGAATGTGCGAACAGGAGAGACTGCAGTAGTAGAAGATGGCTGGTGGCATCTTCCTCGGCACATGGACCACAACATCCAGGCCCTGCATCATAGGAGACATCCAGGTGGCCACCCTGTCCACTCCTCCCTGGTAAGGATGCTTCTATACTGTCAGAGGATACGTTTTGAAAAGAACTTGGAACCTTTTATCTTTCTTCTAGGAAGAGTTAAATCATTAAAAATGATATAGTTTAGCCATTGATAAACTATAATTTCTGTTTATATGTACAGTTTTATAATGTGTATAGTTGTTTGGCTACTCTGAGCTCTCCTTTCCTAGTGTTTTTAGAGAAATCTGTAGGTAATGCTTTAGTAGAAAATTCTGTACATTATGAATAAGAAACATTAAAAGATCAAGAAGAGAAGAATCCTCATATTCATTTTTATTCCTGTAAAACCATGAGAGAGAATTAATTGTCCTTATTTGTACAACAGTTGTTCCAGTTCCCAAATTAGCAGTCACTCTTTCTTTTACTACTTATACTTGGGAAACTGTTTCAAGGATAGACCAAGGGTCAGTAGGAAGCTAGATTATGTTAGCCGCTCCTAGAAGAGGACTAAACATGAAATCCCTCTAGAAAATTTCCCCTATATTATAGTTAGGAAATTGAAGCCCAAAGGAAGAGCACCAGCTGCTGAGAAGCCAGGGACCCTGCATGATGTCACACACTGCAGGTGGCTCACACTTGTGGTGGGACCCTCACATCAGGAGTGCTTGATGATATAGACACATGGTCTACATGTCCCATTTCTGGCTTTCCTTTATAATGAGAAGCCTGGCCAGGAAGCGCAGGGGTAAACCCTGTCTAGAAATCTGCTTTGATGACATCAGCATAGACTTGTGCCCAAGAATGCCAGTGCTTGGAAATTGGAGACTAGTTCTGAATAGAGAGGGTAGGTCAGAAAATTGAATGACATAGACAAAAAGTAACCAGAGAATGCTGAATCAAAGTGGGTAAGTTCAAACCAGACCAGGCTGGGTAGAGAACAAAGGGAGGAAAATTGCTCCATGGTTTCCCCCTTTGCGTATGAGTTTGCTGCCTGGGGAAAGAAGGAGCTCAGGGATGCTTTGTCAGTTTGAGTGGCTGGGAAGACAGGAGTTAGCCACTGTACATGGTCCATAGAATTTTTAGATTTTTAAACTCATTAAGAGCCAGTTTCCTATAAACTCTTTGTGGTTGAGCAAATTTAAGGTAATTACTTTGGAAATATTTGTGAAATACAGGGAACCTTAGGTCCTAAAAAGGCATGCTACACGCACAAGCCTAAGGCCTGTGTGCCCTGGCACCACAGGAAACAAGGTGACAGCATCCAGGGGTGGGCCGAGGTGATTCTCCTCAGGATCATCTGAGTCCTGACACATTCTTCTAAAGAAAAGACAGGAAAAGTCCTCATGCCACAAATTCCACAGGATTCTTAGATAAAAGATATTTTTCTATTTCCTGTTGTTGCTTATAAAAACTTTACTATTTCCTCAAGGACAAATACGTACTCAGCCACACCAAAACCACATGTGGAGTAAAGTACCTTACTATTTCTCTGCCGAAATGATATGGCTCCTCTAGAAGCAATGAACGCTGTACTTCCTACTGACTGAACAACCAGACTGCCAGGGCATGGCTGCCCTTGTCCGCTCACCTCCTTGGCCCAGGCAGGCTTCTCACTGGGACTCATCCCCTCTTTGTAATGGTACAGTGGCTTCTTCTCCAGGGGCCTCTGCTCCTGCCGCTGATGCTGAAGGGACACCAAATAGTCCCTCTCTTGCTTTAGTTGTCTCTGCAGCCTTTCTGCTTGTCTCTGTTCTTCCAGTTGTTTGCGCTTATATTCCTGCCCAGGCCGGGGGGAAAAAGAATAGAGAAAAGTCCAGATGACTGCAAGGAACACCTCGCATGGCAATGAAGCATGCTAAAGAGGCAGGTTAGTGCTAGTGACAAGGGAACTCACACACTAGTGGAACTACATACAGCAGAATGTCAGCTGTGCGTAGATTAAGTCCAGCCCTGTGTTAGTACCCCAAAAGAAAATGTCATTTAATGAAACCACTCCTGCTTTAGTGGCCACCCTGCAGAACATCACCATGCGGGAAATGACTTGTCCCTGATGCCTTGCAGAGAAGATGGGAACCATGCTATCTTTGTATGGTCAGCACACAGTCCCTAAAAGGAGCCACTCCCTTCCTGTTGCAAGAATTAAATCATTCCAACATGTATAATTGAACACAAAACTAAAAAAGAAAAAAACAGAGATACTACCTAAACTGCATTAATAAAACTTGGCCTAGCGCTGGGAAGGTGGCTCAGTGGTAGAGTGCTTGCTTTGCATGCATGAGGCCCTAGGTTTGATTCCTGAGCACCACATAAACAGAAAAGGCCAGAAATGGCGCTGTGGCTCCAGTGGTAGAGCGCAAGCCTTGAACTGAAGAGCTGAGGGATAGCGCCCAGGCCCAAAGTTCAGGGCCCACAACAAAAACCAAAACAAAAAACGTGGCCCAACAAAAAAGCAAGTTATGTATAGCCTAAAAAATACAAGAATGTGCTTGAATAAAAATTTCAGTTTAAAAAGATACCAAGAAGCCCATTAGGAGAACAGTATAGTAATAATAATAAAGCACATCAAGTGGCCACTGCATGAGCAGGGAACATAAAATGTGCCCATCATAAGGGCAAACTAAGAGTCTACAAGTGAAATAGGACTGACAGGTCAAGTAGGTACTTAATGGAAGAGGTGAATGATTGTTGCAAATGGCCTTCAAAATTACTCTGCAATAAACACAGTGGGTCACAAAAGCAGCTGGAACTTACAGTAAGGCTGGGTTTGGTTTAGGTTTTTATAAAAGAGCCAATAAAAATATATAACTATTGTATTTAATGTATTATATGCATCAGGAAACATATTTGAGTTTCTATGAGATTTTGAGGTTCACAAGGCTTGGAGGACTCCTGGTTTTTGGTTTTGTCAGCACTGGTGCTTGAACTTGGCACCTCACATTCTCAGCTTTTTGGTTAAATCTACTACTTGACCTACAGTTTCCCAGCTTTTTGGTGGTTAGTTGGAGACAAGGGTCTATGGATTTTTCTGCCTGGGATGGCTTCAAACTGTGATCCTCAGATCTTAGCCTTCTGAGTAGCTAGGATGACAGGTGCAAACCACCTGTTTTGGTGATTCCTGGTTTTAAACTGTCATGTTAGGAGGAAGAGACACATGACACACACACACACACACACAAACACACACACACACACACACACACACACACACACACAGAGCAGGGCAGCAGGCTTGAAGCTTTCCCATTACCAGAAGTAGAGCTTGTTCATGCAGTAGCTGCTGCTGTAAGATCTCTAACTGTCTTTGCTCCTCCTCTAACTGTCGCCTGATGTATTCCTGCAGAGAGAGGCGGCGGAGAGTTCGGAGAATTTGGAAGAACAGAAAGAAAAAGAAAGTAATTTCAAAGATGACAAGACCTGCCTGAGCAGGAGCAAAAGTAAGGATAGGAACCAAACACCCAACACCTCCTCACGGAATAGGAAGACTGTGCCACACCAAAGCCACACCCTTCAATGGAGTCAAAAGCACAGGCCTGGCAGCTGTGGACTGGGGTGGCTCAGTATTGTACAGTAACTACTTTACTTGGTCTTAATATACACAGTTACATTTTAAAGCTTTTCACTATTGGCTTTTCTTTATGGACTCTCTAGAATGAACTGTGTTACAGAGTTTGAAGCTTGGTGCAGGCTGCAGTGTGGACTGCTGTCATGGTGTGCCTCTGCAGTGATCGTCCCACAGCGCCAGTGGCTGGCAGCATAGGAGTCTAGTAGGGAGAGGGGCTCAGAGTCTCAGAGGCCACAGACTGCACGAGCAGAAATGCTCTTCTGAAGGGATGGAGTAGAGCTTGGCTCATTTTTCAGCTTCACTGAGAGCTTCCAATCAGATACCAGACAGAGCTGGTATCTAGAGTCAGAAGATCCAGGTGTGTCAGTGGCCTCTGACCTGGGTAGGAAGCAAGGCTCAGTGGGCATTGCCAAAGCTGTGCATTTGACTTTTTGAACAGGTGAAGGAATAAAAACCTTGAGCGAGCAGTGCTGAGAGAAGGTGATCCACACCCAGAGCTGCCCGCTGCTGGAGTTCATGCAAGGGCCAAGGGCCATGTATGGACTCCACGTGCTCTACCTGCTCATGCTCAGCACGCCTCCTCTCCTCCTCCCGGCGCATCTGCTCCTCGTAGTGCCTGCGCTGCTCCCTCTCTTGCTGCTTCCGAAGCTCCTTCTCCCGCCTTTGTTGCTGTGGGCAACAAGCAGACAACCATGATGGCCCTGGACATGGGGACGCAGTAGACAAGGAGAGCAGCAGGGAGCGCTGCCACTGTGCACATGAGCTCTTAAGGAGAGAGGCCTAACCCTCCAGTGCTCCCTCTCCTGGGCTGTGGTGAGGAGGCATCATGGGAAGGGAGGAGATGATAGGGAGAGACTGGGGTCCTGTAGAACACTGCCATATCCCACGCCAGTGGATTTACACTGGAAGTTCCTGTGGAGTATATTTCCATGCTCTCAAACCAGGGTTAGGAAACATCAGTGGCTTAATGGGCTATTTTTCCATATCAAATGATTTATGAGATTATTTCTTTGTGAGGTTTACATCATTCCATCATTGGGTCACAGCTTTTCAGAGCTAAAGAACATTGCATTCAATAACCATAGGGTGGCAGAGGGTGAACAGAACTCCCACTCAGTCACCATTCTTTCTCCTCTTGTGTCTGGAGCATTCATTCACAATATTCACTTCAACTCACTCAGGTAAGACTCTTGTGCTCAGCAACCACTAACATCTTCACCTCATATAATTACCATATCATGGCAGTGGACAATGTGACAAGACCTAAGATGGTTTTGGGGGAAGGCAGGTTGTATTATGACATAATGAGAACTTTGTTGCTTAAAAGGAAGACATAATAGGCTTGTAGAATAGTACACTGGTGCATCCTTTCAGAATGACTTCCTACCTCCTTCTAAAACGGAATTATACTCTTTAGTGAAAGCTGTCAGGAGTTAAACCAACAAAATTTTGAATTAGTGCAGAAGATACTACTAGCAAGTTCATCTCTGAGTGCAATAATTCTTGGTACTGCCTGAAAAATTGTGTCTCCATGTAAAAGGTAAATCTATAACTCTTTTTGAATAAAACAGTTATGAACTTGAATTAGGCCAGACCTTTTAGGACAGCAAATGTATGATCCATCAAGTAAAGGAAAATGTTAACCAATTAAGCTTTATATAAAAAAGCTTTTGTTTTTCAAAGACAATAAGAAAATGAAAATAAGGTACAAACAGGGAGAAAAAATATTTGTAAGTGATATATTTGATAAAGGACTAGAATTAGAGATGAATTCCAACCATACCTCAGTTATAAGCCAACCCAGTCATATTATTTGACTAGACATTTCAGCAGACCACATTTAGGGAGAGTAAGCACATGGAAAAATGCTCAACATCATCAGTAATTGTGAAAGTACAAACGAAGACCACAATGTTATCATAGTATACAACCACTATGAGTTACAGTATTACCAAAAAGGTAGGTAAGTGTTGATTAGAGAATGTGGGAAATTATTACATGTTTTATCTTCATCATAAAATCTGAAATAAGTCTTATCCTTCCCATTTTGTAAGAGCAAAATGAGGCACAGAGAGCTTGTTCAGGTCACATCTCTTCAAGATCATGCCCAGTAAGGACTTCAAAACCAGCAATGTGTCTCCAGCATGTAAGCTCAATTATTACAACAGATGGAGAAAAAAGGGTGATAGGTCAGAAGGGACTGGTTCTTCATTCTCTCAAAAATTTTAGGAGACGTTAAAAACTAAGGCATGTAGTTATAGCAACAGTGGTGCTCAAGGGTTAGTGCCATTCCTCATCTCTAGAGCATTTAGAACCTTGTGGGAAATGTAAAGGATTTTTCTGGTTGTTCCAGTGACTGGGGAACATGACTGGCATTTAGCACCAGGTCCAGAAATGCCAAATATCCTGCAGTGTGTAGGTATATCGCACAATTCAAAGTGTTTCCCCACATGTGTCCATGGCATCTACTTTCAGAAGGGCTACAGATCCTTTGTGTCAGATCTCTGGAGCGGCATGGGATTTCTTATTCCTCACATGTGAGCTTCAGAGGGAACTGAGCAGAGGCCCCATTCTCCATGACGCTTTACTGCATGGCCATGAAAGCATGAGGTGCCAGGGACAGACTGGACCGTGTCCACGTCACATCAGCAAGCCATCTCTGTACAACCAGGAACCAGAGAACTTTTGTACAGATCTCTGTCACAGTCCCCGCTAAGCTAACCACAGATACTCAAAACACCCAGAACTCCCTAAGAAAGCCTTCCTGATGTAGCTCTCGCCATAGCCCTCCACATCTGGTGTTTCAGTAACCTCTGAGCCTCAGATGTTGTCTTTTGAGACAACATCTGTCATTTCCAGCTTGACAGTTGCTGTCCATTTTAAGATTATAGGAAAAGGGTGGACACCAGTTTCGTGCAACCAACTGACATTACCAAACAGACCGGCATGTTCAGAATGCCTTAGACAGTTATGGGAAGAGGCAAGTTGAAGCTGAAAAGCAGGTGAGATCTCTCTGTGTAGCTAGACATAAAATCACAGGGCACTGACAACAGCGAAGACAGGCTTAGCCTCCATGTGTCCCTCTGTTCCGAATGGAGATGCAGCCAAAGGATGAAAGGGTGAAAACATCTAGTATTCCAGTCACCTCAACAGGGCTGGAATGGGTGCCAGTTTTGAAGTAGGAAGGCAAAATTTGGTGACAGTAGGGTGTGTGGCAATGGTGGTGGGGGCAGGGGGAGTTCTTGGCCAAGAGGCATACTGGATAGCATGACAGAGAAAAGCATGAAAAGCTTGGACATGTTGGTTCCAGACGAGCAATTATTTATTTTGCAGAAAAATAATTCAGGAGAATACGAGGCGACATCATCATCCGAGGAACCCACTGAATAATTTGCATTATAGACTCAACACAGAGACATTTCCAACACTCAACCAAGGGGACTCAGTGCCAGCACAGTGAATAAAATAATTATGTGTACGGATCTGGATCCTGGCAGGAAATAGCCCTAATTTAGCTAGCATTTCAAGGTTTTTGTTTCTTTCAGTCCAACCATCAGTCTCTTAAGGAAAAAAAAAATCAACACTTTGAAGATAATAGTTGATTTTTATGTGACAGGGTTGTACATTTTCAACCTTGGTGCTAGGAATCAATACTGTTTTATAATTACATGCCACTCAGGTCCTCACACAAGGGTGGGTGGTATTGATTACAACTCAGGAGGTTCCGAACTTCCCAAGTACTGTGCAGTTTCTGAGAAAGACACTCAAAAGTGACTGCTAATTAATAATGACCTCATTCGGATCAGCCCCTGCTAACACTAACACATGGAGGCATCCGCCAGGGCTTTGCTTCCTGTGGTGAGGCTGGAAAAATAAGTTATTTCCCCAGCCTTGCAGAGCACCCTGCCAGTTTCCAGCTGCTGTGTCCCAATGTTGATGCCTTTCTGGAAAAAAGTGTTTTCTGTCGTCCTGTGTATAGGGCCGTTGAGGAGGCATATCAAAACGCATCAAGGTAAGACCAAGTCCTTGGCCTCAAGCAGACACCTTTGCAAAGCTTGGTGACACTTGCTAGAGGTAACTCTTTGAGGGTAAGGTCTGTACTTGATTCCTGCACTGCCCTCCACCTCTCATGCAGGCCTGGTACCCAGCAGGTGCACAGAAGCAAGAAACTTGGGACAGAGGAAGACAAGACAGTAGCCTCTTCAGTTTTTTGTGGCATTTTTTCCTTCCTATCAGGTCTTCTGGCTTATAAATGTCTACCTAATAGAAGAAGGTTGTTTTTTTGTTTCTGTTTTTGAGCATGGCTCATCAACTGTGTACTCCAGACTAAAAACTATCTCCTGCTATTCTCATACTGGGTCTGATGCCACAGATACTGGTTGCATATAGTGCAGACTGGATAAACAATGTAGGGGACAAAAGTCTTGCAGAACTTGAGACCAGACCTCTGCCCTCCTCTGCCTTTTGCTGACAACCCTCACAGGCCAGAACCAGAACGTTCTTTTATGTTAAGCCCATACAAGGTTGGGAATGTTCTTCTAAAAGGTAAGTCACTTATAACAGATGTGATACTAACTTCCCATCTCAGGAAAGGTATGGAAATAAAATTAGAGTGGTAAGAGTCTAAGCTGGAAGGAATGGGAAGGAAAAGCTCAAATAGTATTTTCACATTATGTTCGAACTAGGCATAATGATACAGTTAAACAGAGACTTCTCAAAAGAAGCAGCAAAAATGGCCAATAAACACACAAAGAAATGCACCATATCCCTGGCAATAAAGGTAATGCAAATCAAAACAAGACTGAGTTTCCATCTCACCCAAGTAAGGATTGCGAGCACCAAGAACAACAACAAATAATGGAGGAGGGATGAGGAAGAGAGGGAAAAGGAAATCTGTTACATACATTGTTGGTGGAAGTGCAGACTAGTGCAGCCAACTCTGGAAGGTGGTTTGGAGATTCCTCAAAAAACTATAAATATAGAAGTACTCTGTGTCAAGCCATACCACTCTTGTGCATCTGCCTAGAACAGCACAAGTCAGGATATGACAAAGACACTTGCACATCCGTGTTCTCTGCTGTATTCTTCACAATAGCCAAGTTATGGAAACAGCCCAGATGCCCTGAAACCGATGAGAAAGTCAAGAAAATGCGATACATTTACACAATACAGTTCTCATCCTGAAAGAATATTATGTCATTTTCAGGGAAGGATCTAGACAAAAAGATCATCTTAAATGAAGCCAAGCTCAGAGAGATACATGGTGCATGTTTCTCTCAAATGTGGAAGTGAGATAAAAAATACAAGCATGCATGATAACAGATACTGGGTTCCATGCAGGCACACACAAACTGACTAAAGGACAGTATACTTGGGGGGGGTGTTCCAAAGGGGTAACTTCTCTGAACAACTAGTGTAGTCATTATCAAAACGAATACCAGAATATGGAAGCATATTTTGAGGGAGGGCACAGGAAGTGGGGCACAGGAATAGAGTGAGGAAGGGTAAGAAAATGCAGTCATTATATTCAATGTGCATGATGTAAACAATGCACTAGGCAACTTGAGTGGGAGTGGGAGGGAGAAAAGGGGGAAAAGAACATGGAAGAGGCAACACTGTACATACAACAGCTTTTGGAATGGAAACTTCTTTGTACAATTACCTAATAA